GTGACAGAATTGGCTTCCGCTTCACCAAACGTAAGCGCAAGCCAGGGGGCAAATGAAGTGGGTGAAAATTAATCAAGTCTTGGTGCTAGGCCCAATGCGATGCTCACTCCGAGGTTGAGCTAGGTTGGACCTCGGCCCTATGGCCAACACTTGCTCCGAAGCAAGACAATCATAGGAGCTTAGCCCAATGTACGAATGTCACTCCAAAGTGGGCCGATGGTGGACCTCTTGGACGGGCAGCCAACCACTCCGAAGTAGGTTGAGTAACATGTTGAACCTCCTGGATGGACAGACAACCACTCTGAAGTGGGCTGAACAACATGTTGGACCTCCTGGTTGGACAACCATTCTACAGTAGGCCAACTCAAAGAAGACCAATTCACTGAAGATCTTTCTTGGGCCCACAAGAGACAAACAACTCTGCTCCTCTCCCTCTGTATGAACAGAACGTGGAGACGTGGAGGTGCAGAGGGACAAGGTGCATATATGACAGACCTGCATCTGAATGGCAGGTGGAGTGGTCGTCCTCCTCCAATGAGAGATGTCTGCTAATTAGACAAACAAAACAGACCTGCACCCGAGTGTCAGGCGGAGTGGTCGTCCTCCTTCAATGGGAGACGACCACGAATAAGACACATTGGACAGATGGCGTAGAGAGAAGGACTTGAACGACAAACGACATTCTCCTATAAAAGGTGAACACTACCCACTCTCAAGGGATCCAAAAATTGACACACTCAACACATACACTCTTTGTATTCTCTCTTCTCTCTTTTTCCTCTCCCTGAGTCCCTGACTTTACCATCGGAGGGGTTTCCGACCAAACCTCGGTCGGGCAGCCTCACCGTTTGTTACTCTGTGCAGATCTTCAATTCCCGGAGCACGGTGTTCATCCACGAAATTCAACCCTTCTTCATAGTGCGGAAATCACCCCCGCACACCTATCAATATTCTTACTCTGCTCCTAGTATTTCTCACACGAGTAACGCTATACAAACCAATAAATTTTGCAAATTTTTCTTACGTACATAAGTTGTTTCTATCATATTATTTAGTGAGTCCCATTTTGAAAATTAAAATTTTATTATTGCATGCCACATCTGTCAATTAAGCTTGTAAAGTTTAGGGTAAATTACACTAACCTCCCCTGAGGTTTGAGAAAAATACAATTAGTTCCATAAGTTTGACATAATTACATTGACCTCCTTTTAGTAAGGTTAAAGTGATCAAAACTAATGCAGATGATAGATATATTTGTGTTTATACCTAGGATGTCGAAACCCAATTCGACAGAGTATTCGAAGCATGAATGAACAAAAATACATAAGAAATCATTGCTTTTAGTCCAAGTGGCCATCAAGCTGACGAAGATCAGCTTTTTGGATAGAACTGATGAAAGCATATATAAGTGCCTGCACAACCTGCTTAAGCGACCCATGATTCTGCTTAATGGGCCCGTGTAATTTCCCAAATTCTGCTTGAGCCACTTGTACATCAGGCATTGCTTTGACTGCTTGTACCTCAATTTTGTTGTTGGCTCAATTAAAAAAAACTTCCAAACTAACTTTAAAGTCCTAGGAATAGAGATTAAATTCAAGTGCTTTTGTCCACAAATTGGCATCACTAACACACATCTGATTTTACTTGGGAAGTAAAAGGCATGTGTGATAATACAAACAACTCAAGAACAAACTAAATAAATACGTAAAATACAAGACAAAAGTAAAAATATAATAAAAATGACATTACACGCCTACAAGTTTTCTTAGAGGTCACTGTGGAACATGACGGTGGCCTTCCGCTTCAGCTCCTTATTTTCTGCCTTTAGCACACTTATCTCTGCTCGCGCATCCTTATACATGCGTTGGAGCAGAGCCAGTTGGGCGTTTAACTGCTGCACCTCATTTGTCCTACTCTGCAGCCGGTACGACAAGTTTGTGACCGCAATCATAGTTTCCATACATGACTTCAAAGTATACTGATTGGCCTCAATATCAGTTTGCACCGCCATTTTTTGCTCCACCGACCGCATCGGAAAGTTCAACGGAGCAAAACCAGAGGCGCTTGGTTGAGGTTCACTGGCCACCGCACCAGTTATCTCTCTTGTTGACTCGTTGAGGTCGGGAAAGAGAGTGAGCAGACCACGGGACGAAGAGGCCATATTCTGGGTAGCTGAACGGGAAGACGAGGCCATGTTATGGGTTGCTGAGTGTTTCAGAGAAGGGTTGGTTACAGAATGGCAACAGAGTGTTCCAGAATCTCTTTCTCAGAAACGGAAGAGTTTTTTCAAAGGATTTTTCGGCGGTTTCAGACTGGTTTGCACAGCCTCCGCCTCAACCTTGGTTAAATAGCCGAGGCAGACACGCGCATCGCGCGCCACTTGACGCCAGACGACAAAACGGGCGCGCAAGCCAATGTGGTGACGTGCCTCGCCATCATGTCCGGCACATCTTTTATTCCCGAATATACTCATTCCTAATTTTGTCTTTTCTAGTCTTGCCACACATCCACCTTATGATCCTCATCTCAGCAACCCTCATCTTATCTACATGTTTCTTGGTTGCCCAACACTCCGTCCCATACAACATCACATCATCAAATAAACAAAGTAAAGAAAATAATGACCAAAGAAATAATGAAAAACAAAAACACTAATCAATAATCAAGATATCAAGTTTTGTCAAGAGAAGTATTGCCAAAACACAAACCATTAAATTCCTTAGGATAAAAATCCTAACAAAGAGAAAACAAACCTGAGGTATCATGTTAGCCACTGAAGTTATGACAGCTGAAATTGAGTGTTCCTGTAAGCAACAATAAGTAAGATGAACTCTTGCAGGATTTCATTAAAGAGAAATTTAATTAAAATTGAAGAAATATTCTCTAGCGTGATATGAGTCAAAAGATGGATTAAATGAATGGATAGATTCACTCCTCTCTTTCTCTCCAAAAGATACTATTGTACTTTGGCACACACAAAAGTTATACTCAAGTAGAATAAAAGTGTGTGCAGCATAGGGCTGAAGTTGCACGAAACCAAGCTAGGTTCCACTATTTAGTAGTCAGAACTAACTTATCAAATAGAAAGTTCCCACAAAAAGTAGCTGGTTTCATTTCTTCTCACTATATGAAACCGAATTTTCCTTTATTTATTCATATTCAAAACCAGACACAACTCATCACGAATAAGAAAAATCTACTGATTCAACTCATTGATAATACAAAAAATAAATAAATATATTTACCCTTTGAACAAGATTCGATATCATGTCTAGTGAAAACAACACCTTACGTCCTTGAGTAAGTTGATTCCTACAACATACAACAAGAGTCATAATTATATGGTTACGAGATTCAACATTCACATTTAGTAAAACCATACGAGTCGAAATATTTTCAAATAACATAAATCTCACATAATTGAAAAGGCCAATGCTCATACTCTATGCCAGCGTCAATGTCACAACAATTTGCCTAATCAAATAATAATAATAATAATAAAATGCACATGACTAAAATGTTTGTATAGAATGACTAGGCCAACTCCTATACTTTCTTGCGGGGGGAGCTTCACCAAAGAAACCACTTGAAAATAAACACATTTAACCTAAGAAGCACGGACAAGTGGCACGCTCTGTTGGACACTGACACTCGTTGGACACTTCCCAACATTCATTGGACACTTGTGACATTGTGTCGGACACGCGTCCAAACATGTACTATTATTTTTCAAATTTCTTTAGACTCAAACACGCTTCGGACTCTTGGGACACACTCTCGTCCATAACCTAGACATACATGAAACACATAACAAGTTTGAAAAAAAAAACTCTAGACTAATAATAAAAGAAAACAACGTAAATTTATACCTATTAATCCATCCTCCTTTAACTTAAGAAATTAGCGTGATATCAAATTTTCTTATTATATTTGAATGAAATATTCATATATATAGTGTATAATAGATATATAAAATCAAGTATTTTGTGCATGTCCCTCATGTTTTGTGTCCTGCAGTTTTTTCAAAATTATTGTGTCGACTTGTCCATGTCGTGTAAGCAGTGCCTTCAGTCTCTATTTCCAGCAGCATTACTCCATTGATTATTCAAGCATTTGCATGTAGCTGGAGGCTATCATCGAAAATATGAAAATTTCACTTTTTCTTTATTTGACACCTCCACTTGCCATTGAAACAAAATATATATATATATATATATTGTTAGAATTTACCATCACCTACTACCACTACCACCTCACCTACTCCACTAAACCTAACCCACTACACCACTACCACCATCCACTACACCTACATCTATATAAGGAACCATTTGTAATAGACAGACAATCAAAAAACAAAAATCAATAAATACATAAATTCTTTCATATATTATGCATATATTTTTCTCTTGCTTCCCGTGCTTTAAAAATAAAAATAAAAGACTCTGCAAGATATGCAGGACATATACCTCATTTTTACAACTCTTCCGTTAAAACAAACATAGAAATAAATGGCAAAAAATATGAGAAATACAATAATTTCATTGCATGTGTGCTAACTGCAGTAAGTGGTCTTTTGTCATGATGATTCGACTCATTACATATTCAAGTACACAAATAGTGGAATTCAATTGCCATGGCTTGGAATTTTCAGTATTCAAGCTAGAGCATTGCATCTGCAATTTTTTTACTCTTTCAAGTCTCTACCTAATCCATGAATGTATTTTAATTTTTGAAGTTCCTCCCTTTAGAAACTTCAGTTCTTTAATTTCAAGCTTCCAGAATTTCTTCTATCCTATTTTCTTACTTCTCAATCCAAATTTAGGAACAATAAACCTTCTTACTACCAGTGACAAGCCATCATCTAACAATGGAATTGAAATAAGAGGACATTCTTAATAACTAAAAGAAAGTATGTAAGATGTAGCTTGTCTACATAAAAATGTTATAGTATCAACCAGAAAATTCAATTGGCCAGTTAGCATATAAAATTCAAAATAAATAACAATCTGTATCATTTTTAGCATATTGAGTGCAAATAGTGTGGTCAGGTAAACTTGCTTCAATGATGTTATCCAACAGGGAAATGATCCCAGAAAAGAATGTCAGAACAAACCTTTTAAATGTACCAGAAATCTTTGCACTAAATATGTCACATGCAGCTGAAACAAAGCTGCATCTCCTTACAGTTGATATTTTATCGATATGATCAATTACCTGCAACAGATAAGCAGACAGGAAAATGAAATGTCAATGACCGCAGATATGAGAGCAGCAAACTTTGGTAATAGCCATATATACGGGGGGGGCGGGGGGAATTGACAACAGTTGGGAATGCACAAACAACCCAATTGGGGAAGAATGAGATAGATAAATATTATAAAAGCACCTTTTTCTTCTCTTCTTTGTCAAAAGGTAGTAAAGCCTTGAACACTCGGCGAAAAGAACCATCATCACAACCAGGCAACGTTGTTCTAAGCATAGCAATTATGGCTCTGACTACCTATTATAAGAAAAGGTTAGTTGGTTCATAACCAATAATCATGCTAAACTTTCCGTGCATGCATGTTATAAAATGGACAATAAAGGAACAAGATGTGCTCACATATCATACAGGAAAACTGTTGCAAATTACAGTAGTTTCTGAAGTAAATATTGGCATTAAAGAAAAGCTAAAGGAATTCTGTATTTTTGAGTGCATCAATCAAAAGCCAATTCCAATCCACTAGCAACAAGATTACTGGAGTGCAGTATAGCTCTACAAATGTACAGATATCAACAAATAACATTTCCATTTATGAACAGCAGGGGAGTCAGCAACCTTTTTTCTATAGAAGGCCACACCATGAATGTTGAATGGTATTTTCCTGTCTCGGAATGCTGCTTGAAACACTTTTCCTGACACCTGATGTATGAAAGGCAGAGCCGCAAACTGTTCAGAAAAGTCACAAAAGCTTTTTTTGTTGTTGGAAACTCAACATTATAGAAGGTATGCTTGACCTGCCTCCGGTAAAGAACAGCAATATTGCCATAAGAGCACTTAGCAGATGAACCTTCAGATGTAATTTCTAAGATCTTATCAACAACAAATGCACACTGTGCAACCTCATTACAACATTCCTTTACAGAAATCTGCATATGGAGTCAAAAGAATACAGAATCACTTACCAGCTTCAACAAGAGTTAGTAGTTTGGTTTCAATTTTAACAATGATTACCTTAGATCCACAAGAATTATCAGTGAGAACATTCTTTAGCTGGCCTCGGTTCAAATTATTTTTTATAAGAGATGATGCAGCTTCAACGATACAGCGGGTGGACCGATAATTCTTATTTAATCTAACCTGTCAAAATTTGCACACGATCAATGAAAAGGAAACATATTTAAAAAGCATTCATTCCAAAACTTATCACAAGAAGTGAAATATGAAATTTATCTATCACAATTGCTTTCCATGACTCCTGGCACTCCTTAAACACAGCCAAAGCACATGACAATAATAGCTATGTAAAAATAAATCATACTTCTTTGTGGTTTGGAAAATCTTTACGGAATGAATCAAATCCAGATACGTCAGCGCCATTGAAACTGAAAATTGACTGCAGTAAGATATACAGAATATTTAAGAAGTGTGATAATAGAAGAATAATGTGTACTAATTGGGCATTGTTTTTTAGTGATAATAGAAGAATGAATTAAATAAGTGAGAAGGGGGGAAAAACTAGAAAATTGCAAAATAATTGTAACAAACATAAAATAAACCTGATCTTCATCACCAACAATAGTTATGCGTTTATGAGTTGCAAGAATCCGCAGCAGACCATACTGCATGCTACTTGTGTCTTGAAATTCATCTATCACAATTGCTTTCCATGACTCCTGGCACTCCTTAAATACTTCAAATGAAAAGTAACTGTTAGTTGAAACACGATAACAATTGCAGATTATTAGTTTATTAAACACGTTGAGATGACATGAACCTTCAGGAAAATCACTGAGCAGGTTCACTGAACAGTTGATTAAGTCATGGTAGTCCAGAGCATTACAAGTTCTTAATATGTCATTGTAGTTTTGAAGAATTGCCGCCTAAACCACACTCAAAGATCAGAATAGTTAAAAACTAATCAAAATAGCAGCAAAAGAAAAGATGGAAGAAACTGCTTAATTTCTGCTTACCCCTATGGCATCACCCACTTTATGGCAATCTTCAGGAGTCTTTCCAGAAGCTTTGGCCTGAAATTAGATTGCATTAATGCTGCTATAACATGCATAAGTAACAAAGAAACACCAATGTCATAAAGTGGAGGACACTGCCGTAAAATACTATTAACAATTATGAAGGTGATTACTTGCTATACTACAAAGTACAAACTAAAGAAAAAGTGAAAGAAATTCTTCTTGAATTTTATTTTCTACCTTTTGTGTACCACGAACCATCCTAGCCTGGCTCCTTTTTTAAAATACAGAATAGTCCTTTCACAACTATTTAAAAGAAATGAATTCAGAGCCCATCCCCACAATTTGCAAATAGATATCATCTCATTAAACATGAGGCAAATCACCAATATTTTGAGCTACACAAGCTGAGTTTGGGCCGACTATTACTATCCCAATTTGCAGCTATATTAATAGTTCCAGTTTTGCTGAATTTTCTCTGGACAGTGATTAAATTGCAAAAGAAACTTCAAGAATTAAAAGCGTATACTCACAATTCATACAGTTCCTTCTTCAGGCCAAGATCAATCAAGCATCACAAGAATTTAATGTAAATTACATGAATGGAAAAAAAACTTATTGTCCATTGTAAAAACTTCATGTGACTCAAAACAATCAAAAAAGAAATATAACACTCACAAATCCAACTTAAGATTTGATTCACCTGTTTGTGCCGTTTTTTCTTCTACAGGTCTGTCAACAGACCTAGAGGTGGCAACAAAATGCAAGCAACATGTACTTCTGTTAAAACCTATCACCTACTTCACCCACTTAAACCTACTCCACTAAACCTAACCCACTACACCACTACCACCTCACCTACTCCACTAAACCTAACCCACTACACCACTACCACCTCACCTACTCCACTAAACATAACCCACTACACCACTACCACCTCACCTACTCCACTAAACATAACCCACTACACCACTACCACCTCACCTACTCCACTAAACATAACCCACTACACCACTACCACCTCACCTACTCCACTAAACATAACCCACTACACCACTACCACCTCACCTACTCCACTAAACCCACTACACCACTACCACCTCCACTTCACCTACTCCTCACCTACTACACATAGGAATCATGAATCATTGTAATAAAAATCAACATATATCAATCAATAATACAATTCTCTTTATACATTGAATTTCAACAACTTCTTTATGAAAAGGACACGTGACGGGTCAAGTCATGGGTCAATGCAGCAGTTAAAGCCATTCACCAGAATAAAATCACAAGTTGGAATAAAGAAAAGGGCGGTTACAAGCAGTTATGGAAAGGAAGCAAGAAGTGACAGGTGGCAAAGCAATGAAAGGCCAAGAGAAGATGTGGCAGTTACAAGGAGTTGCAGCCAAGCCTCAATCAGAAAAAGAAGAAACACCACGCTGTGGCAGTTCACGCCTCAATTTTACTAACATCACCCAACACTTCCCCATAACCCATGAGAATTTATTATTTGCACCTACGCACAAGTTCGCACACACATACATGCTCACATGGAATGAGAAATTCAACGTTCAATGTTAGCTTTTACATCAAAAGCAGAGTTAACTAGATATTACAGCAGAGCCAATAATTATGTCCTACTATTCTTCTAAACAGGAAAAAAACAAACAAACAAACAAATTCATTCTTTACTTAAATCTATCAAGAACAAGCTCATAAGACACTAATCAAGTTCTACAAAAGACAAGAAAATGTTGAAGATCAGATTGCAAAAAAATAAATAATTAAATCTTGCTGGTTTAGTTCATTAATCATATAAAATGGAGAAAGAAAAAGAAAGAGTTCAATTTAGAGCAAGAACCCCATGTCACTAAGCTTTTAGATTAGAAAATATGGCAAAATATTACCAATGTGAATAAGCCACTTACTTGAGCTACAAACTTTTGCCACTTCTTTGACTTATCTTTGAAATATTGTGGAGAATTTACATCTTTTAACTCTTCATCATGTCTATGAGCATCCTGATTTTGCCTATTCTTTCCATTTTCCAATAGCCTCACAGCCTCAATGATTGCTCTTCTTTGTTGCCCATGCCCATATATCAAGAATTCTGGTGTGCGACCTAACCTGTTGCATGGTTATACGTTAGGTTGTTATTCATTTAAGAATGAATCGGATTGGAGCAAAATACCAAGATAGACTAAAATAACAAGGAACTACACCTACCACCAAACCTACCTCCACCTACTACTCCTATCACCTACTACACTCCACTTCTCAAGGGTTCAATGGCCACAAATTCTTCTGTTTTAAGAACTAGCTTATTCTACAAATACGGGGGTAAAAATTATCCACAACTATGATTTAAATTAAATTTACATAAAAAAGGAAACTAAATAACTCACTCCTTAAGCTTGATGTTGCTAGTGTAAATCAAACCAAACTTGTGAGAATATAGAGAAGAATTGATGGCCTTCATAAAAAGTGAATTAAATGAATCATAGCCCAATGCAAGACCTCCCGCAAGCAACTATGCAGTTTGGGGAGAATCAAATGAACACAACCTTATATGTTTTGAACCTTGTTAAATCCAAGGAATATAGTATATAAAATTAGAATTATTCTAAAACATTCTAATAGTGTGCTCAGATCTTTATGGTGACATAAATCTATCTTCCATTCAAAATAAAAAAAAAATACAATTATTAGGTAGGTCTCAAATAGTCTCATATGCAAGTATAGCTCTACGAAAGAAGAAAAACACAATCATGTAATCCGGCTAGTGCTTACCATCCATTCAAGATAGTTTGGATCATTAAGATGCTAGGCAGCCAAAATTTGGACCCTCAAACTGGAATAATAATTTTCTAGCATTGATTCACAGGTTTGTGTGCTTGTATGGCCCGATAATATGGTTTACCATCCAACATTGAATAAAAAAGTTAATTGTAGAGAAATCATTGCACCAGCCACATATAATATATGCTTGGAATTGCAAGGAAAAAACCCGCAGAAGAACAAATAAACATAGTTCAATGTCTGCCAAAACAGAAATGCATTCAAGAACTTCAAGTCCAGTGTTTTTAAAGGCTCAAGGCGCACCAATATCAATCAATAATACAATTCTCTATTTCTTTTTATACATCAATTCTAACAAAGAACTTCAAGTCCAGTGTTTTTAAAGGCTCAAGGCGCACCAAGGCGCCAAAGGTCTCTTGGGATTTAGGCGCAAGGCGAGACGCAAACTTTATTGAAGTAAGGCTCACAGGCTCAGTAAAAATATATAAATTAATATAGACCAATGATTCATAGCATGTAATCACTAAGATATAGAATTTTTAAAAAAAAGTAACTAAGGCAAATTATAAAATAATTCTCAAAGCCATAAAAGTACATATTACATAGCATTCCAATTTTCAAAGGTAAAATAATACACATTCAACAGGAAGAAAGAAGAAGACAGCATCGAAGAGAAGCAACAACAACAAACAAAAAAAAATAGAGACAGCAGCGAAGAAGAAAGAAGAAAAAGAAGAAGAAGCCAGCATCGAAAAAGCAGAAGAAAAAAATAGAGACAGCAGAAAAAGGGAAAAAAAAAAAAAACAGAGACATCAGCAAAGGGGAAGGGGGAAGAAGAAGAAGAAGAAGAAGAAGAAAGAAGAAGAAAAAAAAAAAGAAGACATCATCAAAGAAGCAGAGGAAAAAGGGAAAAAAAAAAAAACAGAGACATCAGCAAAGGGGAAGGGGGAAGAAGAAGAAGAAGAAGAAGAAGAAAGAAGAAGAAAAAAAAAAAGAAGACATCATCAAAGAAGCAGAGAGAGAGAGAGAGAGAAAACAGATACAGCAGTGAAGGGGAACAGCCCGGGGGCGGGCCCCCTGCAATGCACAGTACTGTTCAAATCATTGGAAAAAAGCACTGTTCAAGTCATTGGAAAAAGCATTACTGGATCAAGTTGAATTAAGTTTCAGTGTTTCACTTTCACCATCTAATCTGGGGCAGCATGGGTAGTACTACACCAGCTGGTTCTGGATATTTCACTATCAGCAGAATTTGTTTAAAAAAAAGAAGAAGAAGAAGAAGAAAGAAAAAAGAAAAAAATAAAAGAAAACCACTGAATTCAATAGGTACATATGATGTCATGAACTAGACACCTATGCAATCACAGTTTTTAGTCACTCGGGAAAACTTAATATTAAAAATATGACATGTTGCACATGAAAAGCAATAGGTGTCTTTGATACATATATCATCTGTGATATCTTACTGAAAAATGATACAGTATGTGCCCTATAGAATACACTATGCACACATGCTACATGTATTATGTGAAAATATATTACTTTGACTTCCTGAAGTGGCTTGATCTACCCTAAGTCAATTAATAATATTTTAATCTTAATTTGCAAAAAGCTCACCAAAACAAAATTAAACACTCTAACAGAAATTCAGATTGCATTTTGAAAAGATGGCAACAAGTAAGCCTGAACAACGTATACATATATTTCCAAGTCACGAATACTTTGAAAAATCTCAAAATATGCATACTTTTCAGCATGTGAACGACAAAGTTGCAGAGAAAATGAATGGAATGTGCTGATTGTAAGCTCTTTCGCTGTTGCCTTTCCAGCCACTGCTCCAATTCGATCTCTCATTTCAGAAACAGCCGCTGTAGTGAAAGTCATAGCCAGAATATTGGATGGACCAATGCCCTAAAATATTTGAGTGGGGAAGAGCAGAAGTAGAAAGTATAATAAAACACCACATACAAGACAAAACAAAGATCAAGTAAAGATAAAATAATAACGAATCAATCACTTGAGAAAACCCAGTGCCTGTTTAAGAAACATTCAAACAAATGTAATGATCAACCAGATGGTCAAGCAATATATAGCAAATTAGCAATACCTCATTAAGCAACATCAGAACACGTCCAACCATCGTAGAAGTCTGACATTATACAAGTGAAAGCAAGCTATAAACAAGGCATAAAAGCAAACTAAGATTTCAAAGAATAAATTAGTGGAAAGTGAAAAATATCATAAAATGCAGACCTTTCCACTTCCTGGTCCAGCAACAATCATCAAAGGGATAGAAATGTCACTACAAGCAGCTTCCCGCTGCCTGTCATTCAGAGAATCCATATATTTCACAGATTCCTCTGGCATACTCCCATTTTGTGCAGCCACTGAAATCCTCAATTCCCCTACTCCACATTCTTGATCCTCACTTGAATTCATAATGCCTTCAGTTTTCAACAACTCTGGGAAAACAGAACTCAAATTTGTCTTTTGCTCCGAACTATTCTCTTCAACAGACTGAATTTCCATTTGAAAATTACCGCTGCACTCCTCCCTTCCTGAGTTTACCACTGTCTTCTGCTCACATAGAGCATCAATTTCTTCCAAAATGGTATTGTCAATATCCTCATCTAAAACACTAAATACAGATGAAGACTTGCACAAGGCAGAAAAATGCAGTTGTCTCACTGGAGTAACAAAAGAACTTAGCCCAGACTGATCTTCCAACACAACACCCGTTTTCCTTTTACTCAAACTATCATCAATCGATTCAATTCCGTTGACAACTATGGCATCAGAGCATAAACTGCCACTACATTCCAGTTGTCTTGTTGGAGTTTCAAATGAATTAGGAACTGCCTCATTCTCCAAATCAACACCCATTGTCCTTATACTCAAACTATCATCAATCATACTAACGGATATGCCCCTAGAAGATGAACTGATGTTACATTCACCTCCTGGTATTTTCGACCCCTTAAAGGAAGCTGGGGAAGGTGTGTTCATTGGAATCTCTGAAAGAGGAAGCCTTTTGATGCCAATAACCTGTGCTGGAGTTTCAATTCTCTTTGTATCTGCATATCTAGAACAAGCAATGCCCATATTAATAACCACATATCAAAATTCTTCCATTCTTTCATTGTATCATATAACCAACAAATGCAGAAAGAAACATACCAATTTTGCACAATAATTGAATTTTACAACAACAACAACAACAAAAAATTCCAACAAAATAAACTGAGTTTTTAATTTTGTCAATTTAAATCCTAATTTTTTAATTTATTTTCAATTTAAACCATTTGCCTATTTCCATTAAGTAAAATCGATGGAAAATTGATATTTTAGTCATTAAACTCAATGAAAAAAGTATTTTAGACATTTTATATATATTTACATTGATATTAATGACTAAAATACCATTTTTCTGTCAATTTTACTTAATTAAAATAGGTAAATGGTTTAAATTAAAAGTAAATTAAAATATTAGGATTTAAATTGATAAAATTAAAAATTGAGGATTTATTTTGTTAGAAGGCTCAAAGAGTTTTTTTTTTTGTGTGTGTGTGTAATTGTCCCTTGAATTTTAGAGGCATTTGTACATTGATCAATTAAAATGTCGAAAGAAACACACCAATTGGGTTAAATCAAAATTTTAGAAATGGGGGCGCTTCTAATCAACTTTACTAACTAGAACAAAACGAGTCCGACTTTGAGTTTATATTTTTACTTTCTATTTTACTCTTGAACCAACAAGGCACAGCACAGGGTTAGCAATGAAATTTTCACTTTTATTTTCATTGATTTTCTAGGAAACCAAACAGATAGAACAGAATAAGGATGAAGCTGGGAAAGCACATACCTGTCAGGAAACTGATGGTGGGTATTAGTGGAGTCGCGAGGCCTTTTGCGGGCAAGGAGGGCCTTGGCTGCTCTGAAATTCTGAGAAATTCGAACTTTTTGTTGCTCTGATAAACCTCCTAAATGCTCATCTTCCTTGTTCATCTTGAGTTGAGAGAGCTCTCAGCTCTGTGTGTAAACCCTAGAAGAAGAATAAGGAACAGTTGTGCTTTTTCTCAGTCCAGGAAGAGAGAGAGAGTTTGAACTACGAAGCCATTTCCCTCCTACTCTACGGTTCAAATTTTACACCAAAGGGCCTGCTTCGGACCCAAGGCCCTCATAAAGGGGCACTGGGCCTACTTAAACATGGGCCGATTAATACAACAAAAAAACAAGACTAGGGATATTGACCCGGAGGTCCTATTTGAACAATTCAAAACTCATTCAATTTCAAAACAAAATACTTATTTCAATTAATCATATATATTTTTAATTGTTACTAATATTTTTTTTTTTTAATTTAAAGACACTATCACATCTCAATAGCGCCGAAAAGTCACCGGAGTATCATCAAAAATTCGTCATAATGTTCTAAATGTCACCAAAAATTGCCAAAATGTCTAAAATGCCTCTAGACGTCAAGAACATTGGCGGACACTCACCGAAAAATCCAGAACATCACCGAAAAAAAGAAGAATAAGAAGAAGAAAAAAGGGAGAAATTAGAGTGAAAACATAGTAGAATTTAACTACATCCTCTCCAACGCCACAAAACATGAAAAATTACTCTTTATCATGCAGAGCATATAATTTTTAGTTCACAAATTTTTAAAAATTTAGAGTTTGAATTTATTGTTTATCAAACTGCACAAATTGCAGTTTCAAAACTATAAAAGTTATTAATTTGCTCGTTTGTAATTTATTAAAACACAATTTCACGTCGTGACAATGGTGGAGATCTGAGATCAGTAGTTTCTAAAGGTTTGTAGTTTTTTCAGTTTGTCAATATTTCCTAATTTTTTTTAATAAAGAGAAAAATAAAATACTAAAATCATAAAGAAAAGCAAAAACATATCTTCAAGATTGTAAAAATTTACAGTTGTCACCATTTGTAATTTAAACTCGAAAATATTTTTTCAGAAGTTAAAAATTCTCTCTATTAAAACAAGAAAAGAGAAGTGTGTAATAGCAAGGAAAAAAAAAACTGAGAGATCAAATGAAAGGGACAAACATAAAAAATTCGCCGGAGTATCATCAAAAATTCGTCAAAGTGTTCTGAATGTCACCAAAAATTGCCAAAATGTCTAAAATGCCTATAGACGTCAAGAACATCGTCAGACACTCACCGAAATGTCCAAAACGTCACTAAAAAAAAAGAAGTATAAGAAGAAAAAGAAAAAAGGGAGAAATTAGAGCGAAAGCATAGTAAAATTTAACTACATCCTCTCCAACGCCACAAAACATAAAAAATAACTCTTTATCATACAGAGCATACAATTTTTAGTTCACAAATTTTTAAAAATTTTAGAGTTTGAATTTATTGTTTATCAAACTGCACAAATTTGTGGTTTCGAAACTATAAAATTATTAATTTGCTCGTTTGTAATTTATTAAAACACAATTTCACGTCGTGACAATGGTAGAGATCTTAGATCAGTAGTTTCTAAGGGTTTGTAGTTTTTTCAATTTGTCAATATTTCCTTCTTTTTTTTAAAATAAAGAGAAAAATAAAATACTAAAGTCATAGAGAAAACCAAAAACATATTTTCAAGATTGTAAAATTTTACAGTTTTCACCATTTGTAATTTAAATTCGAAAAATATTTTTTTAGAAGTTAAAATTTTTTTCTATTAAAACAAGAAAAGAGAAGTGTGTAGTAGGAAAAAAAAAACTAAGAGATCAAATGAAAGGGACAAACATAAAGAGAGTTAACCATTTTTGGTTTAGATCTAATTGAATCTAATATAGATCTACTCAGATATGTTCTAAATCTAAATATCCCAGTGAGTCTTGTATTGCGCTAGCCAAATCTGAGTAGATCTAGGTTAAGAATATCGTCAGAAACTTATCTTCTTCGTCGTCACTAAAGGCGAAGTAAGGAGTTGGCGGTTGCTAGTGAACCCCAATCGATGGTAGCCGTTGGTCACTGGTAAGTATATATCAGAAAAAGGGGGAAAAAAAGATAGTTGCCTTGGGATTTTTGGCTTTACACCAAAAATTTTGGGACTAAGTAAAACATGTGTTCTTCTCATAGGAGTTATAGGTAATTTGCCCAAAAAAGAAGGTTCGATCCCAATAATAAATCAAACTCTAATTTTTTTAATTATTTTGATATAAACCCTAACCCCTCTCTTTCTATGCTATTTAGGGAAGAGATGGTAATGATGAATTAAGCTATCATAATTACCAAGTGTGATGATAAATGGATTATGAAGGTGATTGGTAATATTTGTTTGATGGCGATTGTTTTTAATTTTTTTTAAACTTATTTTTATCTAGTTTTATTTTTATTTACTTATTTTTTGTGTTAAATTCCGCTAGGGTTGTTAACAACTTCGCCGTCCCAAACCCAGGTAAAGGATGAGGGCTGTGTGTTAGGTAGTCGACAACCAACACATAAAAAAGCCGCTCGGACCCCTTATAACAATGAATCCTACTTTCAATCATTTAAATGCTAGGTCGTCCCCCTTAAGTGAAGCGTTGCGCTTGCCTCCGGGTGTTTTAAAAAGTAAGCAAGGGACGTCGTATCAACGCCTGGGTGCGTGAAAAATGGGCAAAGGTTCCTACTTTTTTCTGGACAAGCACAGGTAAAGAAGCCAATCCAAGACTATAGGTTTAGGGTAGCCACTTGGAATATAGGAACCTTAACTAGTAAGACAATGGAATTGGTAGATGTTATGATTAGGAGGAGAGTTAGTATAGCATGTGTACAAAAAACTAAGTGGATAGGTGAGAAAGCTAGGGAAATTGAGGATACCGATTTTAAACTGTATTATAGTGGTAAGGATAGATGCAAGAATGGGGTAGGAATCATAGTTATCAAGAGTCTTGTGGAAAATGTAGTAGTGGTCAGTAGAAAAGGGGATAGGATTATGTTAATTAAACTAGTTATTGGAGGGAATATAGTGAACGTTATTAGTGCATACGCCCTCAGGTAGGGTTAGATGATCAGACTAAGAGGGATTTTTGGGAGCGAATGGATGAGATCTTACAAAAGATACCCGTAGGAGAGAACCTAGTTATAGTTAGAGAATTTAATGGCCATGTATGCATAGATAAACTAGGCTATGAAAGGGTGCATAGTGGATATGGTTTTGGTGATAGAAATGAGGCTAGAGAGAGTATCTTAGGCTCTGTTTGGATGTGTTTTAAAATTACATTTCTACCCTATCACTACCACTTCACGTTTGGATACCACTTTCAAAATAGAATTCCACCATATAATTCAAACTACAATTTGAAAACCCGTTTGGCAGCTTTGTGATTCATTCTCCACTTTCAATGTCTTCAGCCTTATTCCTCTTCCTTTCTGAAAAGCTTCCATGTTCATCGTCTCTGAAAAGGTTCACGTGAATTGATCTATTCATCTTTCTATGTTTCAAAGATCAGGACTGAAGATTTGTCACGGGTAGTGTTCATAGAGAACTCTGACCATTTTATAAATCATAAATCCTGTGAACCTACTCCCTACCCATACCATCTCTCACAAATCAAGTGAGTTACAATTTGTGCATTGTGGAAGATTCATTCTACGGGCAACCAAACAACGACGACACCGAGGTCAAATAAATCACAAACTTATTTCAAATATTTTCTTATAGATCATTGATTTGAAAAAATCATCCCTAATTTTATTTCCAATTTTTTTTGTTTCAAGTCAAATTTATCAAACCCATTGTCAAATCAGACGACTACCAAAGAGTCGCACATTCACTCACTGTATCCACTCCATCACCAGTGATAACTATTCAACTCCTACTAATCTGGTAAGTATATTCTTCAATCATCTGTTATGTGCAAATGAGTTCTGAAATGATTTCTGAGAAGTCCAAACAACCATAAAGATAGTTGCTAATCTGTCTGAACTCTTTGAACGGTTGAAGCTGAGCCGGTCGTCCCCTGGGTTATCCGGTCGGTCGTTCCCCAGGTCATTCAGCCGGTCGACCGGCTAGTCAACCTCCCTGCTCATCCTTCTCTTCAACTCTTCTTTTGTTGTTCTTCTTCTTCTACTTATTTCTTCTTCTCTTCTTCTGCTCTTCTGCTTATTTCTTCATGTGGCCTTCTTCTTCTGCTTATTTGTGGTTATTTTTTTACTGTGTAAACTTGCTTCACAAACTTTTTACAGACAATGTTATGTGATTTTTATTTTGTCTCTGTTTTGGCTTTTAAATCATCTGTCTTTTCTATAGTTCAAATAAACATTAATGTTATGTGTTTTTATTTTCTTTTTGTGTTGCCCTTCAAATCATCTAGTTCTCCTAACATTATTTAACAAGTTGGAAGTAAACATTAATGTTATGTGGTTTTATTTTTTTATCTGTGTTACCCTTCAAACCATCTGCTTTTCCTAACATTATTTACCAAGTTCAAATAAATATTAATTTTGGTTCCCACATAAATAATTGTAATTGGTTTTTGCTCTGTTATTTTTTTCTATCCATTCCAGAGTACTTTGCTTTGTTATTATTTTATATCCACTCCAGAGTAGTTTAAATATAAATTGTATGTTTATAGATGGATGGAAACAATTCCGATGACAATCAGGATACAAAAATGTGGACTCCCAGAATTGAATTGAAATTAATAAACATGTTGAGAGAAAAGGTTAAAAAAAATCAAACAACGGGCTGTACTATTGTGTGGACAATTAGGCATTGGAATCATTTTGCAAATCAGTTGCACAATCTGTATGGATTTCAGTATACAACAATGCAGGTGCAACAAAAATATCAGCGATTGAAAGCTGATTACTAAACGTTTAAGCGGCTGCAGACACAGACTAGTCTGGGATGGGATCCCATTGTAGGCACTGTTGTTGCACCCGATGAATTTTGGGATAAGGTTTTTCATTAACCTGTACCATTTTCAATTTTTTTTTTTTAACATTTCATCACACATACAGTATGCTTAATTAAATACTTCCAATTGTTGTAGGCTACCAGAAATGTAAATCTTTTGTTGTTCTTCTTCTTCTACTTATTTCTTCTTCTCTTCTTCTGCTCTTCTGCTTATTTCTTCATGTGGCCTTCTTCTTCTGCTTATTTGTGGTTATTTTTTTACTGTGTAAACTTGCTTCACAAACTTTTTACA